GAAATTATCAAAATGGAAAATCCGTCGAATGAAAAAAATTAATAATAATAATAATAATATGAAATTTTTTTACTTGAATTTTACACAGAAAAAATATTTTGAATAAATTTATAAATAAGGAAAAGGTATATATGAACAATAATATATATATTATTAATCTAAATAAAAAAAAAATAATAAAAAAATATAAAAAAATAAATAAATAAATTCGGATTTATGGGGAAAAAATTATTATTATTATTATTATCTCGGGTTAATTTTTCTCACTGTCTGGGTATTTTTAATTATTAATAATAATAATAATAAAATTAATAGTTATTGATAAGGGAATGAGTAAAGAGGCAGCTTCGCATATATATTTATATGTGTGTGTGTGTGTGATGAGTTAAATGTATGTATTTATTTATATATATATATATACATGTAAATTGGGTTTTTTTTTTTTTTTTAGTAATAACACTTAATTAATACTGTAAAAGAAAAAATAATAATAATAATAATCATTTTAAATAAAGAAAATTTTAATTGAATTTTTTTGTTTTTTTTTTTTTTTTTTACCGTTTGCTAACACATTAATATAAATGCACTCGTTTAATTTTTTATATTATAAATAATTATTTTGTTTGTTTTTTTTTTTTTTTTGGAATATTTATAATAAATTTTTCTCATTGGTTAAATACTATAACGAACGAATAAATTATTTTTATAAAAAATGGGAAACAGTTTTAATTAAGTTTTTTTTCTTTTTTTTTTTTTTGTAATTAAAATGTTTTAATAAATCAAGTGAATTTTATTAATTTGTATTTTATAAAGTTTTTTTTCTTTCCCGAGGTTAATAAAAAAAAAAATTTATTGTGTTTCATCAAATTATAGTTTTGTTTGATGCTACAACGTTTAAATGTTTGTGTATCGTTAATGTGCGGTCAGTAAACAATAATTAAAAATGAAATATTTTCTGTTTTTAAATGATTAATATCTTTTTAAATCAATGGATATTTGGAAAATATTTATTTTAAACAGTTTAAACGGTTTTAAAAACAATATAAAATCTACAATCAAATGATAAACAATTTTTAAGAACAACAAGTAGTGGAATCAGGTCACTATTCCATCATCACCAGTAAGTAAAAATTGTTTTTAAATTTTAGAAATAGTAATTTTTATTTAAGTAAATAAAAAGTTGGTGCTTTAAATAAGGTTTCAGGTTCCTATGTAATTTAATTACATAGAAACTTAATTACAATACTTGGACACACATAAATTATTGTATTTCAAATTTGAATCATTCATTATGGGAAAAATCAGCACAAACACTAATTTTACTCATTTGATTTAATAATGAAAACATAAAAAGTACTTAATTAGGAAATTATATTGATCACTAAAATGTTTTTTTAATTATCTGATTATTCATTAAATACTATTTCTTAAATTGAATTGTAACTTGGAAATTTTTTATTTCGAATTTGCATTTGTGAATACAGTAATATTCACTTTTACTTTCGATTATTTATTACGAAATTATTATAAAATTTTTTTAAAGACAAATCATTCATTATCTTTCATAATTTATTGGAAATTAATTAAAATATAATCAGTCTGTTGAAAACTCAATATCTTTTGTAACTTTAACAGTAGTACTTCTTAAAAATTTTCCATTTTCTACAGTTTTCAACTTATTGTTTCTTAAAATACACAAAATTTTAATAAATTTAATAATGTCTTTATTTGATACATATCCTGTAGCACATCTATAACAAATAAACAACACACAATGATAGTTTTTGTTTTTTTTTTTTTTTTTTAAATTAACTGACAATACGACAAAATACAACATACCTTAGAAAATGAACGAGAAGTTTAAAATTAGATTTAGAATGACAAAAAAGTAAAATAATGGATACCTAAAATCAATTAATTTTTATCAAATCTAATTAAAAGAGACTAATTTCAAATGTACCACTTGAAAATTGTTAAAAAAGTAATGTTATTTAATTCTACCTTAATTATTATAGAACTGTATAGTTTAAGACCAGGATTACACAAAATCATTAGCAAAGATATTGTTTCATTCCAATCTTGCCTTAGAATAGTCTTTCTCAATTCTTGTATAACGTTAGGCAATTGTCGGCATCTTAACCTAACTTGGTTATCTAATTTATTTTCTTCAGTATATTGACTCCAACAATTTTTAGAAGAAGAATTTTTTTTTTTTTTTTTTTTTTTATTCTTCTGGGGTAATAATTTTAAAAATACTTTTCTCTACATGTCAATTAAATGAAATTTTTTAGTCGTTTATAAAAATTATCATTTAAAAAAAAAAAATTTTTTAATTTTAGTCAACTCACCAAGTCATTTTCTTCTAGCAATGTTAATTTGTTTTTTAAATAAACCTTATTAGTTTCATTAATGAATTTCATTTTATTTTTATTACTTTTGCATTTATTAACAGATCTGTTACTCATCGTCTTATATTATTTAAGATTATATAAAAATATTTTACCATTGATAAATAACAAACATATATGACCGTGACCGTTTTTAAAAAGTAACAGACATTGTTGACCTTAAGAATATTATATTTCAGTCAATTTAACAACAACCGGTATTTTTAATCGTTTGTCCAAACATAAATATTATTAAGATTTATTGAATAAAAAAATAAGTAGTAGAATAAGAAACGTCACTCAAGAAATAATTAAATTTTTACGTAAAATTAAATTATGTTTATTTAGAGAATTTTCTCAACTTTTAAATTGATAATGACACATAAAATTATTACAATATAATTATTATAAGTAATTTAATTACTTACTTAGTTATTTAGAGTAATATTCGCTTCACAAATTAATAATAAGTTTAAAATTACGTCACTGGTTTATCTTATGTACGAGCCACCATTTTTCGTGTTCTCGAACAAAATTTAAAAAATAACGGTTTTTTTAAAAAATATTGAAATATTATAATTTTTGTTAACGAGTGATATTTATTCATCGCGAATAAGTTAATAAAAATTAATTTTATCGATTAAATATTTAACAAAAACATTATTTCGAGGTTTATAATTTCACTAAAACAACACAGGTAAAAAAATAATATTTGTTTTTAGAAAAAAAAAAAAAAAATTTCTTTACTTACTGTCATGGATTCTTTTTACTCTTAAAACGTCCATTTTGACCCCCCCCCCGCCGATACATTTGAAAAAGAAATAAATTCAATTATATAAAACTTTTAAAATATTTAAAATTATAAATCGGAATTATTAATAATTTAATTATTTATCCGGTTATGCATCTATGAGAAAACAATTAAGAAATTTATTTAAATTTAAAATTTTTGCGTTCTCATGTTTGGGGGGGAAAAAAATTTGATCACGTGACAAGTGATAGGGTTAAAAATTATATAAAAATAAAATAAAAAAATTACCACTCTTATTTTTTCAAAAAATATTTTACAACACCAAAAAAAATGTATTATAATTAATTATTACATAAAACATTTTTTTTTTTTTTAAAAAAGTAAATTTTCACGAATCCTGTTTTTTTTTTTTTTCATAACGGTTGACAACAACAACGGTTAAATTTTACTGGTAACAATATTATTATTATTATTATTTATTTTTGATCAATGAGGATTCTCCGCACATTTTAAAAATAATAATAATTTTTAATATACTTCATTAAATAATTTAATTAATTAATAAATAAATAATAAATAATTTTTGCATGCTACAATAATTAACATAATTTCTACGACAAGAAAAATTATAAATTTTAATTTTGGTAATATACATTTTTTTTGGGGAAAAAAAAAAAAAAAAAAAACTGTAAAATAAATGTTCATAAAATTTTATCTGTATATTTATTTATTTAATTATCAAACCGTGCAACATTAAACAAATCATAAATTATTAATTCACTCAAAATAATAATAATAATAATAAACATTTAGTGTCAATTTAAATTTACAGTTATGCTATTATACAATTTTATTCTAATTATTATTAATTAATTAATAAATTAGAAGCATTTCCAAAAAAAAAAAAAAAAAAAAAAATTTAAATAATTCCCTTTTTTTTTTTAAAAGTTTTTTTCATTGTGCTTTTTTATTACTGTACAA